TAGAATAATCAGTAGGATGTGATACATATTTTATCTTTTGTTTCCATTTTTTTGTTGTGATAGCACTGAAAGAACATCCTAATATATGTATTAATTTTATCATTAGAATCAATGTGCATAGAAACCTTTTTAAAATTGGAGGTTTTAAGAAACTATTTTTTTAATGCATGGATAATTGGAGTTAAAGTAATTTTCATAGCTTCTTCATGAGTTTGCTATTTTTTTTCAAAAGACGATAATTCATTAACATTGATACTCTATCTCTGCTTTTAAATTTGAGCTGAGGCTGATCGATCACTCTCCTTTGAGCAGGGGCTAGTGTCAGTTAAAGACAAACCACACCAAGTGATTGTCCAAGGTGTCCATGAGCTCTATGATCTGGAAGAGACACCAGTGAGCTGGAAAGATGACACTGAGAGAACAAATCGATTGGTCCTTATTGGTAAGTGACCAAGGGTTAAATTTCTAAAGCAAAGTAAAACATAGATTTGAAAGGGATACAATGTGCTACATAAGATCAGATCAGATCCTCTTTTGTAACTAAATAAGGTTGTGGTTAATGTATTTGTCTTAATCATGTGATAACCTTCATGAGAACTTGTTTAGCCTTTTATTCTTCTTCAAACAGTTTTAGAAAAGTGATTAATACAAGCACTAATCTTATTTTGAGCGTCTTAACTTGAAAGTTAAAGAAGGAATCACTTGATTACTATTGCTTTTATAAATTTCTGAAGCTCATCAAGCATTTAATGATCTGGAATTGATAGGTGTACTGTGTCATTTTAATAAGTATAATGTAATCGCACCATATTTTGTTTTATTTACAGGCAGGAATTTAGATAAAGATATCCTTAAACAACTATTTATAGCTACTGTGACAGAAACAGAAAAGCAGTGAACAACACATTTCACAGAAGACTGAGTTTGTCTATAATTCCTGAAGCATTTCTTATCAAAAGGACCGGGTGATAAAAATGAGAATAAGTTTCTTTCTGGATATATTTCAATCATCTATTTTCTGTTATGAATTTCAGTGTACTTTAAAATAATATTTATTTTGTAGAATACATAAAATTTAGTAAATCAGTATTGTAAAACATTTGACATTCATGTAATAAACTATAATATCCTCTGAAGTTTTTTTCTTTTTGAAGATAAGTATTTCAGAAAAATATCTTTCAGATTGGATTTGGAGTTTATATATGCTGAACGTCTCACCTGTGGAAGTTATTTATAATAATGATGATAAAACGTTCTTCAACATTATCAGTTTCCCTTAGAACTTCAGCTGATTACAGAAATATAATGACTATATTTTTATTAACAAAATTTTTAAACAACAAATAGCATTTTTATTAAATGAAATAAAAGGTTTGTGTGGCTAGAGACTTAAAAGTGGAAGAAATCTGAGTCAAATAAATTAATTTAAACCATGTCTAATTCTTAATGCTAAGCCTTATTGGTAGTCAGTGTAATGAAACTTCAGGCATTTATTTTGTAATATATTCCAGTTGTAGAGCTTTTAATTTTAAGTAAACTTTGCTACTGGTATTAAATTCATTTTGGTTGTTTTTGAACTTCTGTTTTCAATGTAAGTTAAAATTTGATGAGGTACCAGACTTCAGCTATCACTACAAATAAGTTTTGATAGTTTAACAATCTTTATATAAATGGTTGGTGTGTAAGTATACAGTGGCTCACTTTTCTCCTATTCCTACTAAAGACTAAGTCAGCATAACTATACTCAAATTGTACAAGAAAAGTGTAGATGGAATTTAAAGAAGAGCTTTCCTAAACTAATGGTTGTTAAATATCAGAGAAAGCTATCACAAGGGCTTTTGGAATTTTTTCTTCAGGTTTTAAATAAAGGAGTTAACATCTGTATTTTGAATGGTTCCTGTGGCTGGAGGCAGAAAGGCTACTCGATTAAATTATCCTAAGTTGGTTGTCACTGTTCTCTTGGTTCTACCAATGAGGCTGCTGATCCTGATCTTCCTTCCCCTCTATTCTGTACCTTTTATATAACTTTTCTGTATTCATTCAGTTGCCTCCTGAATCCATTCTCTCAATTCATGGTTGAGAGAATATGGTTATTTTGTGGCAGCAAATTGCCCAGCAGAAAGTCAGCTGATTTTTGAGTCAGATCTGGGCTTTAATTCCAGCTTTGCTGCTGGTTGGCTGTGTAATCTTGGGCAAAGTACTTACTCTGAGATTAGTTTTCTATGTATAAAGTGGATAGTGGTAATATCAACCATCCAAGGATTAAATAGGTTTGTACTGCTCCCAACTCAGCTCGCGGCACATGGGAGAGCCAAGATAAACATGTTCTTCTTCCTAACAATTTTAAGTTGTTTTATAATTAATGTCACAATAATACTTAATATTTCTTGGCAAATAGGTCTGTTCTAGACTATGAGAAAGGGCCAATAATTACTTGTCCTGTTGTAGGAGAAATGTTTGAAATAACATTAATCCATACTTTTGAAAATCTATTTATAAAATGTATTTGGTTTTTCCTTTAAAATGTATTAATCTTTAAATATTTTTCATTACACAAGTATTGCATAAATATATTTTTGTTATAAAAATGCAAACATCACAGGTGAAGTCAGTCTTCCCTGACCCTTTTCCTTCAATCCTTGTCACTTCTTAGGGCTAAGCCAATATTCTCTTCTATTCTTTCAGACATTTCTTTTCACTTACACATGTTTCCCAAAGTAAATTATTTTTCAGTGATCAGAGCTGTAGTTTAAGCTCGCTCTTCAGGAAACTTAGAAACTTGCCACAGATATCAAGGGAAGGTTTAAAAAAAAATATATATATATATATATGTATATTTATATATGTATGTTACAATGTGTGTTAAATAAAACATTATTCTTTATACTTTATAATGCAGTTTGCTTAAAGAAAAAAAAATTTTTTTTAGTCTAAGATCTTTCCATGACAGTGCCTATAAATCTGTCTATTCTTTAACTGCTGCATAGAAATTCATAGTATAGCATGGAATACATTCATGTAAAAAAAATTTATCGAGGGCTTCCAGTATTAGTGCTGGGGCTGAATCTGCACAGAACAGATTAAAGGCTAGGTGTTCATATTGCTTACATTGTGGTGCAGGGAGATAAATGTCGTAGGCAGACTGGTAAAAATAAAGATCAACTTCAGATTGGTCATAGAAGGCCTCTCTGAAGAGAGGTGGCTCCTAAGTTGAGAAATGAATTAAAAGGAGTCATTCATACAAAGTAGGGGAGAAAGCTCTACACAGAGTGAGTAGTGCAAAGGCCCATTATTTAGGTGGGCCACCAGCACAGTGTGTTGGGAGGCCAGGAAAAAGGCAAGGGTGGTGGAAGATTAGAAAGCAAGGCTATGAAATGAGATTGCAGTTGTGAGCCAGAGCTGGGTTTGTTGCACCTTATAGGACAGAGTAAACATTTGGATTATTCTTAATACCCTGGGAAGTGACTGAGGGGTGTTAAGCTGGGGAACTGATGTGAGAATGATCTCTGAGGTAGATGAATCAGTTGTTTCTGTTTTTGAAATTGCAAACAGCGCTGCTGTGAACACCATTGTACATGCCTCTTTGTTCTTATGTGTCAGTGTTTCTCTAGAATAGGTACATAAAAGTGGAATCACTAGCTTCCAGGATATGCATATTGGAAATTTTAATACATACTGATAAATTGCCCTTCCAGAGAAATGGCTTTATGTTTTGCCTTCATACAGTAGTGTATGGAGTGTCCATTTTCCCAATCATAACTAACACATTTTAACTTTTGCCAGGCTGGATTGGATGGCATCTTACAGTTTTATTTTGGGTCCCATATTGTATTCTTATGTTGTTTATATATTATTTTAAGGGTGCATTGTCCTGTTCTTCATTATTTTTTCCAAAATGAAGTATTTTCCAGTGATCGGAGCCATAGTTTAACCTGTACCTTCAGGAGACTTTGGAACTTGCTATAGATATCACGAAGAGAAAGTTTTATTTTTATAATGCAACAATAATAATAATAATGTGGCCATTATTTTGCTTGCTATAGAAGACTTGCAGGGTAATTATGATGGTGATGATCAAGGTTTAGGCATGGTTCATCTAAGACTTCATGGTTTACTGAGGGATACAGGATAAATCACTAAATCTCTTTGAGCCTCTTCCTCTTTATTCATAAAATGAAAATAACAATGCAGATCTCTCTGGATTGTTCCAGGGATTAAATTTAAAGCACCCGAATTTCAACAAATGTGGATTTCCCTTTTTCAGTAAAGCTTTGATATACAATTCGAGCTTCTGCACACCTGAAAACAAATGGTTCTTTGTGAGGCTTTTTCCAGCTTTGAGGGAAAGGGACAAGAAAATTGGTACACAATTGAATAGAGCTGTAGGAAATGTCAGTACAAGGTGTGAGCAAAGACCGGATGATTGAAAGGGTCAGCTGGGTAAAAGGGCTTGATGCCTATAGGTGTCTTCCCTCTCAGTGACTATCGGNCCGGATGATTGAAAGGGTCAGCTGGGTAAAAGGGCTTGATGCCTATAGGTTTCTTCCCTCTCAGTGACTATCGGAATGTGTGAGCTAGAAAAGACCTTCCAAATAGCTCATTTATTCTTGTTAGACTGACTCTTACGCATATTTTGATCCAAAGGGGTATTTAATTATCTTCCCTTCTTGCTACCCTGAGTTATTTTTTTGATGGTTTGCTTCAATCAAATATGTAGTATTTTGATTTTTTTAAAAGTAGTCTTATACAACTTGTGGGTAGAAGTTGAGATAAAATGTATCTTTCTTCCTAGAGTCTATAATTCCTAGATAATGAATTTTAAGGCAATTAGCAACAAAATAAAGCTAAAAGGCTTTTAAAACACAGATGATCCATGCTTTGTAACATTATGGACTTGGTTGCTTTCTACCAATTGAATAATTGTTTCCTTTGGATTACTGATGTAGTTGAGAAAACTACATTTTGGGGTTGCTTTCAAATGACTTTCCCAGTTCTAGAAAAGCCATATATTTAGTGGGGATGATGTGGAAAGAAGTGAATTCTACCTTTGAATGTCTGGCAACTCACCCTGCTTTGATGAGAAAGAAAGGTATGCTAGAGTTCTTGTGTCAGAGTTAGCCTTAATACTAGAATCAACCTTTAACTCTGTTGATGACTAAATTGCCTTTCATTTTTAGGGTGAAAGAAAGAAACCAGACATCACCATCCTTCTCGTAGATGAGGTTAAAACGTTTTGTTTTTCAAACAAGGATGGCATCTTATGAGTCCCTGATTTGTTTATGGGGTAAAAAACAACAACAACAACAACAAAAACCCAAATAGAAAACCAAACCAAACCAAACAAACAAACAACTACTCACCCTTAGGAAAGAAATAATCAACAATAGTATTGAGTGCCCACTGTGCACTAGGCTCCATGTTAAATGTTGCAGGAGCTACAAAGTATGACTTGATTCTTAAGGCAGAACTATAGAATTGAGACTGGGCAGTAAGAGTTCCTTCTGATTTTTTGTTTAGAATGATATGCCATTATGGAGTCTTTCCAAAGCATTCTGCTTTTCATTGCTACAGCTCTTTTTTTTTAGAATGATATGCCATTATGGAGTCTTTCCAAAGCATTCTGCTTTTCATTGCTACAGCTCTTTGTTTTTACATTGATATATTTGGTACAACACTATTAAGATATAATTCATATGCCACAAAATTTACCCTTTAAAAGTACGTAATTAATGGTTTTTGTATATCTGGTTAGACAATTGTTACCATTATCTAATTCCAGAACAGTTTCATCACCCCAAAAAGAAACCCTCTGTCCATTAGCAGTTACTTCCAGTTTCCCCCTGCCCCCACTCCCTCTCCCCCCACTATTAACATCTTAAAATAGTATGTTACATTTGTTACAGTTAGTGAACCAATATTGATACATATATTATTAAATAAAGTCTACAGTTTATTCACATATTTTTTGGTTTTACTCAATATCCTTTTTCTGTTCCAGAATCCCATCTGGGATACCACATTACATTTAGTACTCATGTCTCTTTAGCCTGCTTTTGACTGAGACACCTTCATAGACTTTCCTTGTTTTGATGACCTTGACAGTTTTGAAGCGTACACAACATGCTCCTTTATTGCAATTTGTCTGATGTTTTTCTCATGATTAGGCTGGGGTTTGGGGGAGGAAGATCACACAGTGTCATTTTCATCACATCATATCAAGGGCATATACTATCAACATGATTTATGACTACTGATGTTGACCTTGATCTCCTGATCACTTGGCTGAAGTGGTGTTGGTCAGGTTTCTCCACTGTAGAGTTACTCTTCCCCCTTTCCATACTGTTCTCTTTAGAGGGAAATTATTATGTGCAGCCCACATTAAAAGAGTGGGGAGTTATGCCCTACTTCCTTAAGGGTGGAGTATTTACACAATTTATTTGGAATTTTGCAGGGGAGATTTGTCTCTTTTCACCCATTTATTAACTTACACGGTCATTTATTTTTATCAGTGTCGACACGTGTATTTATTTTATACTTTGGGTTATAATGCAATACTACTTTGTTGCCCAAATTGTCCCAGCTTTGGCCACTGGGACAATTTCAGTTGTCTGCTGTGCCCCCTTTCATATACCCTCATCTGTGTGGGTTTTTTGTTTTGTTTTGTTTTTGAGTCTATCCTTACTTTTCTCCTTTCATTTTTAAATAACCCAAATCTTCATAGAAGTTGACTCTAGGAAAACTAACAATACTCCTTTTCCCAGATAATCGGATTTCCATGCTGATGGAAGAAATGTGCCTCACCTGCAGGGGGTTGAGGGGGGAGACATCTGTTTTCATTTTTAAATAACCCAAATCTTCATAGAAGTTGACTCTAGGAAAACTAACAATACTCCCTCTCCCAGATAATCGGATTTCCATGCTGATGGAAGAAATGTGCCTCACCTGCAGGGGGTTGAGGGGGGAGACATCTGTGAATATAATGTTGAATGAGACACCTGTCCTGGCCCTCATGGAGCTTAGTTTAGTAGATCACACAAGTAGGCATTGGTAAATTTGGGATTCAAACACAAATGTGTTAGGCTCAGAACCTTCTGTTATTTGTCCTACTTCAAGCTTCCTATAACCAGAGAGTCTTAAAGGGCAAAAACCTCAGGAATAGAGGCTAAGGCTTAAAAAAAAATTTGCAAGAAAGCTGCTCTCCAAATTTTATCCTGAAGGCACTAGCTACTTTTAGCTTACCTTTAATTCCGAAGGCACCAAACTACTTTTTCTTGTATTTCGCCCTTGTAGCTGGCTTCTGATTTCTCACTGAAAATTTATCGTCATGTTACAAACACTAATGGAAGATTTACTATGTGACAATCAATGGTATAACACCATATTATTTTAGGTTGCATTTTAATTGAATGCTATCTCAAAATTTTCCCCCAAGTCGGTTGGTTTTAAATATTGAATGTGTACTGTGGCTTCGTATTCTACCAGAAGACCCCTATTTATATAACTGACATTAAATTGTATTCCACTGTACGGCTACTTTAGTCTCTGAGCTAGCTAACTTAAACGAAGCCAACCTAAAAGCCTTGTTCCTTCCTAGGATGTCAGATGAGTGAGGTAAACACAGCTTCTGTCATCCACTTCTCTCCAGTGTGGATACCGAATGACCACCCAGTGATTCAAATATATCGACACTGCAGACGTCCTTTGCTTCATTTAAGTTTCAAGTTTTATTACGTACTATTGCAGTAAAAATGCTTAATGTTGTCTTTTCTGAAAAGAATGAAGGGAGTGGGAGGGAGGGGGAGACAGAGGCAAAAGCCACCACACACTGGGTGCATCCCTTTGAGTTGGGCCAATTTGTGAAAACAGGATTTTTGTGGTGAAACCAATTTAGTTGATCATGACCATTCAGAAAAAGAAAAGAAACATCAGTGATCACTGTAGTGTATGTTGTTTTGTGAATCCCATTTTAGTTATATATGTATGTGCAGGACTGTGGTAGACAATGTATTTCTTCTCACTGTGGTTAAAGGTTGAAAGAAGCTGAAGAATCACTGCTGTAAGGGGACAAGGAGACGCTTCTTTCTCTCTCCTGCTTTTCCTCCACCCTGAGCTTCCACAACTCACTGCTAGGACATTTCAGACTTTTCTGATCATTTGAGTCAGCGAGGGCATTTTGGGCAGCTACACCCGGACACCCCCTTGAGCTCGGGAATATAGTCAGAACATTAAAAATAATTCAGTCCACCATTCTGGATGAGGACAGAGCCCACCAATGAAAATGAATGATCAGCCAGCTGTGAAACACGAAAACATGCTTTCACTGTCACACATTTTGGACGAACACCTTATACATTTCAGTGCTCTCCTTCCCCAATTTCGGTCTCCATGTCGACATGGCCATAGGTGGTTGATCTTCTACCTCATTTTTATTTGCGCGGTTTTGCAAGCGCGTTAACAGAGCCCCGCGAGTCCGGGGCCGACCGGCTGGCTGAGCCCGGCGAGGGGGGCGTCTTCCTCGGTGGAGGGTGGGTGCGGGGAGGCGGCGGCCGAGCGCCGTCGGCGTGTGCGGGGTTTGCGCAGCGGACCCTCATCATTGGCTGCGTCAGGAGCAAGGTCGGGGAAGGAAGGGTACCAGGGGGCGGGGAGCCCACCGCACAGGGCGCGAGGACGCTTTAATAAAAGGCAAATGCATCTTGCTGGACGGCGCTGGAAAGGAGGAGAAGCCGGCAGAAGAGAAGAACACCTGGAAGCGCGACCACGAGCGTCCCACCTCCCCTGCGTCGGCGGGACCTGCTCGTCCATGAACTTGCCGGGAGCTCAGCTCCTTCGCCCCACGACGCCTCGCAACCTCCGGGGCTCCGACGGAGAAGACGGCGAGATCGACGTCCTGGGCGAGGAGGAAGGTGGAGACGCGGCGGGGAGCCGTCGGTTCGCAGAGCAGCCGC